GTTTTACTTGGTAACATGATGTGGTCAGGACTGGTGCACAGCAACCCCCCACAAGTAAATCTGATTCATCAAGGGACAGAACAGAGACACTGCTCAAACCACTTTGGAGAACATGGAGGACACCTTCAGCAGGCCCACGTAAACTGTTACTGTTCACTGGCCCTTACAAGCACAACCACTCCACAGCTTGCTCAGAAGAGCAGAAGGGTAAAAGTAACAGATTAAACAGGAACACAATTAAGAGTTCCTTGCACGTGTTCTTTTTCTACTTTTGTTTAACTCAAGAAGGAAGACAGACCACCTGGGGGATTTTTACCCAAAAACAAATACTTCAACTACTGGACAAATGACAACACAAACCCCAAACCCTCATATCTGTTTTGCAAACCACTATTTCTCTCATTTTGGCCCAGACATGGATAGGAAATTGCAATTCCTTATAGTCAGCCTGAATCTAATCAAGTCCATCTTTCTCTCTGAAATTCCTCTCCATACTGGAGAAAAGTCTGCTGAAAAAGACAATTATTTAAGCTACAGAATCAAAGAAATCTAACTTTTGAAATGCTAACTAACTTCATATAAAGTATATGAAAAATGGCAGTTAAAATAATTTTATTTGACTTATCATGATCTATTTTTTCAGTACAACTGTTTTTATTATTACTCCCTGCATATGTGACATACTGTCATTCCTATTTTAGTTTTTATCTCAACACCCAGTTTCTCAACCTGAAGTGTCAGTCTTACTTCTGCCAAAATTGCCAGACTGCTTTCCAGAAATGTCCCTCTATCACTTCATTCTAGCAAGACTGTCTCACTAATAATAGTCTTGCTCTATTAGACCAGGCCAACCTTCACTTATAGGAACCGAGCAATTCATGGGGAGAAAATCCATGGAGAAAACGTTAAGTGAATTAAAATGCTCACATTTGAACTCCAGAAGTTTACCAGGTGATGCAATGCAGGAGAGCTACAGGAACACCACTTTGGGAAAGGTTCTTTTTCCCAGTGGTGCAGATGAGAGAAGGTAAAGGCAGGTGCTTATCTGCTGAGCAGAATTCTGCTGCAAAAGCCCACTCTTCAGAGGGCTCCTGGCTGCTCCTAGGAGACAGCACTCTTTAACCCCATCTCCTCTTTTCCCCACACACATCACTGACAAACTTTTTTCCTCCCCTGTAAGTAGCTCAAATTTTCTACTTTCTATCTACGCATAGTTTAGAAAGCAAACAGCAAACTAAATCTAAATTACCAGTTTTATTTTGCTGATGCTTGTAAATATTTCTAACAGCAACCAAAATATTTTAGACCAGAATAGCCAGGTTTTTGAGCTGCAGAAGCCAAAGCAAAATATTGAATAATATCTCAGTTTCTAACAACTTACAGGAAAGAAAAAAACATTTCACTCACCACTAGCAGACTTTCTTCCCTAAATCCTCAAGACTCCAATAAGTATTAGTTATAATAAGCATTATAAAAGGTACTCAAACAAGTACTTCTGATACTATATTCCCAGCCTATGCAAAGATAATGACAGATTTGAATTATGGCTTGTGCTTGCAGTTCCAAAGAGAAGATTTCTGTAGTCAAGAGGAGCTAATTTTCAGAAAGTAAACCAAATTTTCTTATTTATAAATTTTAAAATTAGGATCATCTCGTAAGAAAGTTTAAATCAAAATACCAAAACCCAAATTAATACTCAATATAATGTGCACAGGTTAAAAGGTGAGTATTAGGAAAATATAAATACGCTATGCTATTATAAACTCGTATCTTAGATATGAACATAAAGAGGTGCCTCCTTACACAAGAGCATCAACAGAACAGGATTTTTACTCCTTACTTACAGTTTTCTGTTGATTTTTCACTCATAGGGAAATAAAACACTTGGTCAGTTTCTGTTTCCACTCCCTGCCTCCTTCGCCTGCATTGTGCTGCACCATTTGGAGAAGTGCAAGCAACGTAAATACGCGTAAAAACCCAAAACACAGTTCGCCCTCATTTCCCAGCGCTAACTCGGCAGACCAACTGGAGACAAAAACCCCGGTAATTCCCCAGGAAGCCCATCAGCCACCCCTACTCATCGCTCCTCTCTATACCGCTCCTCTTACATAATCAAAGGAAAGAAAAATAGGCTAAATGCACGGAGGCAGAAGGAGCTGATGAAATCCCACGGTGACAGTTTCTTTTTTTCCTCCCTCCCCCTGCGGCGGGGGGGGGGTGTGGGTTCGAGCGGAACCGGGTCACCCCACCGCTCCCTGATGTCATTTCCCCTCCCGCCCGGCCGCCTCCCCCGCCCCGCCGCACCACCGGCCCACATTACACAAGTGCCCGGGGCAGCCGCGGCCCGGCCGGGCGGCGCGGCCCGCGGAGCCGCACCCCGCCGGCACTTCACCCCCGGGCGAACTCCCGCCCCACAACTTCGCGCCGGGCCGGGGGCGCCGGCCCCGCACGCCCCTCCAGGC